GAGACCTTGGTAGTGGACAGGATATAAACGTTTTAAATAAATAAATACAGAGAAAAAAATAATCGGCGCACATTTACATCAGGCTGGCAAGGAGCTCCTTGTGTTGTTGGTAGATACTGCATATAAGGTAAGATGTCTACATCCTCCTTGGCTACAAGTTCCAAAACATCCATCGTATCGGCCTGTTGGTAGTCTTTCGCATCCTGAATGGAAAGGGGTAATATAACTACAATATAGGAAATATGTACTGTTTACCCTTCAAAAGCAAAGTAATAAATTACATCATGTGCATAGTTTTGCTGGTTTTCTGGAGAGCAGAACATCTATTTCTTGGCATTTTGGACTGGGAAACTCATCACAGCATGTCAGATTACTGGTTTGCTCTGCATAACATTATGTATATTTTTGGTGTTCAAATAGTAATAAGTGCAAGCATTAATACTAAGAGCAGTGATAAAAATGAAATGCATAAATGGGTGGGTGAAATGCGTAAGTTACAACTAGCTAGTAGGCAGAAAATTGTTTAGTGAACATACATACCCTTTTTGCAATTGCCACAAAACTTGTAAATTGGGTGACAATGGAGTTCTCCTGGCTGAGCTGAATGATCCAGGATTTCAACAGCTGTTTCTTTGCCTAAATAGTTAAGATACATACATTTTATAAGGGTGTTCCTTCTCCTCTCCAACCCATGACTCCACCCCATTTCAGCTGTTCCACTATAAGGTCTTCCTCAAACTGGCACCCTCCAGATTTGCTGGCCAACTCCCTTCATTCCCAATGGCTGGGATTTATGGCAGTTGCAATCTACCATATCTGGAAGGCATGAGGTTGGGAAACCTGGCCTAGAGTGAGTTCACCAGTGATACAGCAGTGGCATATATGGTATTCTACCAGTATAGCAGAGGTGTAGGACAACATTGAAAGGATTATTCCATCCAAATCTGTTAATTTGCTTCATCTTCCATTCTGCTGCAGAATCAAGATCTGAGCACAATAAGGAAAAGTGTTTCTTTTCCTGCTTTTCTATTACCTAAACTCTAGGTGGTGTTGAAATAAAGCAAAACAGGAGAAATGCACTATAGGAAAGACCCATGTCTTTCCTCCATCAGAAATAAAAGCAGGTTGCTTACCTGTAACTGATGTTCTTCGAGTAGCCACCTGTGCATTCACACATATGGGTGCTGCGTCTGCACAGTGCCTAGGCCGGAAGATTAGAAAGCTAACGGTTTTGGGCGGGAAAAACTCCGCTCCCCTCCCCCTCAGTGGTATAAATAGAGCGGAGTGTCCGCCATTTTATTCAGTCTTGAAGACTGAACGTTCGCCCTCTAGAGGTTGAGAATAAAATGAACGACAAGCATCACTGTATTCCAATGGTACCAATGAAGTTATAGTAAGGTACCGAGAGAAAAAAAAAAACATCCACTCACCAACACCGAGCGGGGCCGGCGGGTGGGTTGTGTGAATGCACAGATGGCCACTCGAAGAACATCAGTTACAGGTAAGCAACCTGCTTTTCTTCGTCGTGGCCTCTGTGCATCACACATATGGGTGATTTGCAAGCTTACCAAACTCGGAGGAGGGAGGAGTCATGAGCGAAGAACAGATGAAAGAACAGCTCTGCCGAAAGAGCAGTCTTGTCTGGAACGTACATCAAGCTGATAATGCTTGGTGAAGGTACATGGACCAGCCCACATCGCAGCTCTGCAGATATCTTGTAGCGGAACTCCTGTGGCAAACGCAGACGAAGTCACTACTGCTCATGTGGAGTGACCTCTTGGAAAAACAGGTAAGTCTATTTTCGATAGCTGGTAAGCCAAGACGATAGTCTGGACGATCCAATTAGAAAGTCTTTGGGATGTGATTGGTGATCCTTTGTCACACTTGGAGTACTTAACAAAAAGTCTATTAGTACTATGGAAAGATTCTGTGCAAGATCTGTAAAAAGCCAAGCAACGGCGAACATCAAGAGTGTGTAGAGCACGTTCTATCGGGTTCGAAGGCGATGGAAAGAATGCTGGCAAAACAATGTCTTGACTCAGGTGGAACGGTGTAGCCACTTTAGGAAGAAAGGAAAAATCCATCCGAAGAACAACTTTCTCCTTATGGAAATTCAGAAAAGGTGGGTCTATGCGAAGAGCACAAATTTCACTAGTTCTCCGAGCTGATGTTACTGCTACGAGGAAGGCCATTTTCCACAACACGAGGCGCAAGTCCACAGTTGCCAAAAGCTTGAACGGTGGTTTGGTAAGTGCCTGGAGCACTACAGAAAGGCTCCACGTTGGCATAGCAGGGCAGATAGACGGATGTAAGTTCTGTAGTCCCCTAATAAAGCATCAAACCAGCGGTTGAGAGAAAACTGATGATCCTTGGATAGCGCCACGATAATGGGATATGGCGGCTGCATAAACTTTAACGGATGATGGTTTGAGTCCCGTGTGATGCAGTTGCAAGAGAAATTGCAGAATATTGTCAACTGAAGCCGTCTCAGGAAGAAAAGAATGGCACTCTGCAAACGAGGAGAATCTTTTCCATTTAGCCGCATAAGAACGACGAGTGGACAGTCTCAATGCAGATTCGAGAATCGTCTGAATTTCTTGGTCAGTAGGCGTCAGTACCGCAGCGATTGCTGTCGAATCCGAGGTAGGAGCTGTATGTACAGACTGCTGAACAGAGCCCTCCGTAGAGCGACGTGGTGTCGGTATCAACTCAGTGAAATGACTCAGTTGATCCGCCATGCTGTCAACTTCAGGGAGGTTATATCCGGATGTCGGATCGCTCCATCTCGCTGTGTTAACACATGAGGAATAGTTGGTAGGCGAAGAAATGTACTTCTGGATAGTAGCAAGAGAGTGGCAAACCATGGTTGTCTCGGCCACCACGGAGTTACTAATATCCCTGTGGCATTGTCTTGGGCTATTTTCACAACCACTTTTGTTAGAAGTGGGATTGAAGGAAACGCATAAAAAGTCATGTTGTTCCAAGGGATCATAAGAGCATCCCCCATCGATCACGATTCGATGCCCGCTCTGGAACAATACTGGGCACACACTCTGTTGCCTCGAGTGGTGAACAGGTCCGTGTCTGGGTAACCCCACAAACGGAAGAGTTTCTTGCAAATTTGTCTGTCCAACTCCCATTCGTGGGTTGTTGACATCTGTCTGCTTAACATATCTGCTTCGATGTTGTCGGTTCCAGTCAGGTGAACCGCCAGGAGCATAATGTTCCTCGGTATGCACCAGTCCCAAATGTCCATCGATAGGCGTGCTAAGGCTGGAGATTTCATGCTGCCCTGCTTGTTGATATAGAAAACAGCAGGTATGTTGTCTGATGCAATCTGGACAACTTGACGGCATAGCACAGTCTCGAAGGCCTTGAGGGCGTTGAAAATCGCTAGAAGTTCGAGGAAGTTGATGTGCTTCCTTACTTCTCGTTGGTTCCAAGTACCTTGGACCCGAAGTCCCGAACATGTTGCACCCCATCCAAGGAGGGATGCATCGGTGTACAGGGTTGTTGTTGGCTGAAGCGGTCGAAATGGGACGCCGATAGACAGGTTGCCTGGGATGGTCCACCAAGTTAGAGTACGAAGGATCACAAATGGAATCCGGATCAGCTTGGTGGCAGGATCCCGTTGCGGGTGAAATGCGGTGTTGAAAAACAGTTGCATGGGCTGCATACGCAGTCTGGCATACGGGACAATAGCAACCGCAGCAGCCATATGTCCAAGTAGTCTCTGAATGGATACGGCTGGGACTGTTCCGTGCAGCCATATCTGACAAATGTGGTTGCATAAGGCACCTTGATGTTCCGGTGGAAGAAAGGCTCTTTCCCATGTCGAGTCGAGTCATGCCCCAATTAATTCGATGACCTGTGTGGGAATAAGGGACAATTTCTCGCGGTTAATGCACAGACCAAGAGCGTCGAGTAGAGCACAGGTCACTTGTATAGCAGACAGAAGACCTCGTTCGGATTGCGAAATGATAAGCCAATCGTCTAAATATGAGTATATTTGCACTCCCCGTGTTCTTAAGCGTGCGCATACCGGCGCCATACACTTCATAAAAACTCGAGGTGCGGTAGCCAGGCCAAAGGGTAGAACATTGAACTCGAACAGATCGGACCCAACAGTAAAACGTAGGAAGCATCTGTGTGAAGGATGGATAGAGATATGAAAATAGGCATCCTTAAAGTCCAGTGAGGTGAACCAAACCTCCCTCTTCAATAATGGAAAGATATTCTGTAGTGGTCATCTGGAACTTCCTTGGTTTGATGTACTTATTAAGAGTTCGTAAGTCCAAAATTGGACGAAGACCACCGTCCCTTTTCAGGACCGTAAAATATCTGGAGTAGAATCCATGCAATCCTTCTGAGCAGGATAATTGTCGAATCACTCCCTTGATAAGCAGCTGGAAAACCTCGTCGCATAGCACCGATGAAGAAGGTATAAAACGGATCGGGCTCGATGGAGGGACGACATCGAATTCTATCCTATATCCAAACTGAATGATAGATAACACCTACCTATCAGATGGGGAGCTGGCCTTGGAGCCGGTCCCCAGAAGGGAGAAGGGAAGGTGTTGTTGGAAGAGGAAGGATGTTCACCTGGACCGTCAAAGTGGGAGTTATCGGCGTCAAAGCGTCGACGGCCTTGGGAAAAACGCTGTTGCAGTTGCTGCCTCCAACGTTGCCGTTGCCAATATTGTTGGCAAGGGTAGTATAGTTGGTTCCGATAGGAAGACCGAGGCCACTGCCACTTACGCTTTTGTGGAGGGAGTTCCATGCAGCGTGCAGTCCGGCGTGATTCGTGTATTGCTTTTAACTTGCAGTCGGTCTTCTGATGGAACAGGCCGGTACCATCATATGGCATTTCTTCGATTCTGCGTTTCGTCTCGTTGGGAAAATTACAATTGCGAAGCCACGCATGTCAGTGTAACGAGATGGCATTGATGAGAGCCCTCGAATCAGTGTCTACATGGTGTTGTGAAGTAGACAACTGTTGCACCGCCACCTGCATTGCTTCTTTAATGAAGACCCTGACGAGGTCGGCTTGGTGATCTGGAAGGGAGAAAGCAACGTTATCCAGCTTCTGCATGATAAAGTACTGGTAACATGCCAGTGTTGCTTCGTAATTCGATATACATATGCCGAGCCCAGAGGCCGCATAGACCCGGCGCGCAAGCATATCGATTTTCCTCCCTTCCTTGTCATGAGGGGCAGTATGTCCCCTGGACTCCCTGCCCTGGGAGGATTCAACCACAAGAGATTTCGGTTTCAGGTGACGGAGCAAAAAAGGAATATCATCATCACGAACTCTATACATGGCCTCATACAGGCAGGAGGTAGCTTGTGGTTGAGCCGGTTGATCCCAGGGCTGGCCCATAGCCTGGCGAAGTGTAGTTATTAGTGGCAGGGCTATGGATGCGGACTGCTCTCCCCGAATGACATCATAAAACCGATCCGTGGAAGGACCTGGCTGCTGATGAGCTTTGATATCTCAAGGGACCGAATGAGATGGGACATGAGCTCCGTAAAAGAGAGATGTGGTTCATCAGGTGAAGCAGGCCCTTGGTATGCAACAGCCACATCGGGGGATGTCGAGTCGACCTCCGACTCATCAGAGTCTTCATCGTAGCGACGGCGGTCGCTTGAGGAAGAGGTTTCAGGAGAAGTTGGATGCCTACTCTCCACACGCCTCGAGGTGGATGGTATGTCCCTCTGGACCGATGGTGACCTACGATCCCAAGGAAGGTAATGGTATGGTTGATAACCACCCCAGCCGGGGGGAGCACCATATGCAGGCATCAACCAATCCTCATCCCGATGTTTGGACGAATGGCTGCGACGCCTTGGAGGCAATGGTGAAGCTACATGGGGCTCAGTTGTGGGCATAGGCGTTGGCGAGCGTTCCCTCGGCGGGGAGTCTCTAATCTCACCATCAGAGATGGACTCCCGAAGCGTCTCCTCCTGTTGTTGAGGGGGCACGCTCTCAGGCCGAGTGATTGGCCTGGGGGATCCCAGCGGAGTCACCTGCATAGCGGATTGCAAGGCCGGTCCCGAGGGAGTCGGTACCGTGGCGGCCGTCGGTACCGAGAAGCCCGATGAGCCTGAGCCCCGGTGTTTTGGGCGGTCAGGTTTCTTGCTCTTGTGAGCGGGCTTGTCCGCCTTTTCCTTCCTCAGCTTCTTACGGGTGGAAGGTTTATCCAAGACAGTGTGCTTGTGCTTCTCCCGTTTTTTAGCTGGGGAAGAAGCCAGCAATTGAGTCTCCATAGAAGTGGCGCCTTTGTCCGAAGGACGCTGCGGAGGATCGGCGGAAGTCGAAGTGGGGCGCTTCGCAGGAGCGCTCGTGGTGGAGGAGGAGTGCTGAGGAGGTGTGGCTGAAGAGGAACCAGGCTGTAAGAGCAGTTGGCCAGACTGCATTAATGACTGGTCCCACAAGAGTTTTCTAAGACAATTCTCCCTGTTCTTTCTCGCTTGCTTGGTAAACGCCAAGCAATGGCTGCATTTGTCGGTTCTATGCCCCTTGCCAAGGCAGAGGAGGCATAGATCATGTGGATCGGTAGGCGACATTTTGGATCCACATTCGGTGCATTTGCGGAAAGCCGCTCGCAGCGCCATCGTGGAAAAGGAAGAAAGAGAAGACAGTGTAGAGGGTAAGATAATATTTTTGTTTTTTGTGTTTTTTTAAATAGAAATGAAGGGATTTAAGAAGAACTGGGAAGAGCAACAAACTTGGATCAAGAGAAGAAAAGTTTAGGAGATAAATGCAAAAAACAGACAAGGAGCACAAGATCTAAGTGAGGGACGAACAGGCACGAGGCACAGTGAACGGCAGTCGCAAAGACTGAATAAAATGGCAGACACTCCACTCTATTTATCCCACTGAGGGGGAGGGGAGCGGAGTTTTTCCCACCAAAAACCGTTAGCTTTCTAATCTTCCGGCCTAGGCACTGTGCAGGCACAGCACCCATATGTGTGATGCACAGAGTCCACGACGAAGAATAACCCATTTTTTGCTCTAAAGAAATTCAAGGAAAGTGAGAAGTTCATATTAGTATTGCAAATGGACTTTTTAATCTTTTTAAAATGTGCCCTATTAATCAGGAAGCAAATGGACGGTGCAATCCAAGAGCCTCCATGCTTCATGCACATAATTGGGGTAGTGGTGGTGACTTCTGTCACTCTGTTTCATGCCTTGCATTCCAGCTGGATGGCCATTGTCTTTGTACCGCATCTTTCTAGAGGAAGCTGGGCACCATTTGGATAACACAGAAGCCACTAGCCTGGCACGGTTCCTTCTGTGTCAGTTACTGTGGGGAGGGTGGGCACAGAGGCACCATGGTCCAGGTTCCATTTCCAATGAATCCCATGACCTCTAGATGAATGTGCCCTTAAACATTATAAAAATAAAAGTGCTTTTTAAAAAGGAAGGTCATAAGTGCCATCTTCTAGAAGAGAATTTTATCCTTCTCTCACAACCCAAAAGGAATGCCTCTTCTAAGATAATTTTATTTATTTATGAAACATATATACCACATATACTACAATGAAATTCCCAGGCAAGAACCACAAGGGAAAATGCAGTATCATGAGCCAAACTAATGATAAAGCAGGGAATAATAAATGGCAGTTAAGCAATCACAGAGTGAACCTAATCCACAAGTACTCACAAGAAAGCACTAAGTTCAGTTGCACTTACTCCTGAGTAAGTGCATCCAGAACTGCTGGAAGCATCATTTTAAAATAATGTCTGCTCTTTTTAAAATAAGTTTTTTATTTACATCTAATTTTATGCAAGTTATCCAATTATAGTGAAAAGTGATTTTAAGAGGTTTATAAAGTGATGGTGAATGGGTGCCTATCAGGAATGCTGTAGCAGATTTCCTGCATTAGCAAAGGGTTGGATTCGATTCCGTTTGAAGTCCATTCTGTTCCATTTCCTTGATTCTGTGCCTACTCAGAAGTAAGTCCCATGAGTAGAACAGGGCATACTCACAGGTAAGTGTATATTGAATTGCAACTATAACTTCATATAAGGACTTGCATAAGCAGCTGACAGCTCTAATCCAAACTGCTGTCCAACACAGAGCTTCACTGCTTTGATTTTCTTTTCCTTAGCAATATACCTCATGTTCTGTTTCATTTTCATCAATCATCCCTTGCTCATGATCCCTAATGAAGGCTCTTGCTGCGAGTTTGTGGAGCATCTGTGTACAGAAGAGGGAGAGAAGAAGAGGGAAAAGAAAGCCAGAACAAGAATATTAGAACATGTATTTTTAAAATTCTAGTTTGGTTACGAGATCTTGTAAGAATTAAAGAGAAGTTACTCTATTTTTAAAAACAAAAACAAAAGCAGTCATGGAGAAGCACCATCATGTTTGGGACTGTGATGTGCAGGAAGGACTTGTTTTTTAACCTTTCCCCCCGCCTCATGCGTGGGACTGACAAAAATGCCTTTGAGCCAGTACCCACTTGTCTCCTGGACCAAGCAGCATCACTGGGGAGAGTGATTCCCTGGCCCTCTCCCAGTACTGAGGAAAGCAGTCTCCACAGGGTTGGTTTCACTCCTCCTTAAATTTATTTATTATTTATTGCATGCATTTATACCCCGTCCCATCACTTCAAGCGCTCAGGATGGCTTACAGAATGTATAAAAATACAATAAATTCCTGTGGTTTAAAAGCAATCAAGATTAGTAGGGCATGATCCTATGCACATTTAGACAGGGAAATGTCGCACACCTCTGAGTGTCCCTCGACGTGTGCTAAGGACTGAACACTGAGCCTTTATTACACAGTAGCACAATGTACGTACAACTTAAGTGTTGACAGCAGGGGAAGGGGGCCCCTCACAATGCTAGGCTCCTGTTACCATGTCCCTCTTTTTCTACAGAGTCTCTGTGCACTGGGAACCTGCCTAGCATTGGACTAAGAAGGCATGCAGCAACAGCAGATCTTGCATGCGTGTGAGAGAGAGCGCACTGCACATGTGCGTGGGAGACCATGTCTGTGCGTGCACAAAAGCCTTGTTTCTTAGTCACACTCAGCTTTCCGTGGCCTTCAGTGCCCCAGTCCACTGGAAGAAAAATGACAGACAGGTTTCCATACTGTGCTTATGGTTCGGGTGCACATATGCGTGCAAATCAATCAGCAGTGTTCACCATGGAGCCAGTGCTTACACTCCTAACATGCGCAGCACAGTCCTATGCATGTTTGTTTGCAGATGAGTCCTTATGTGCATTCCTCAGAAAGCAGCCCAAGTAAAAGCACATTCACATCAAAAGGATAGGGCTTCTAGAAGCATGCTCTGTTTATTTAGATTTTCTGGAATGCACTAGATAGTTGCTTTGCACCCATAGTTCTGGCTGAACTCACCGTTCCCGTTGTCTTCTGCAATTCAGTTGTAGATACCATTGCCTGCAGTTCTTGGTTGTCCACTAGTGCATTTAAAGTGGCCTTAAAGAAAGAACAAAAAACATCCAATTTATCAAGTTCTGGTGAAAACATTGATCAATGCTTTGATCAACTTCTTGTGAAATCTGTACCAAAGATTCAAGAGAAAGGGTCAGTGGAATTTACTATACTGCTGCTTCATCTTTCTTTAAAATTCTACCCGAGTCTTCCTATTGTCACTTAAGAACTCATCCTATTCCACAATAATTTATTAATTACATTTCTATACAAACCAAATAGCCAAATCTCTGAGTGGTTTATGGAGAATAAAAACCTTACAAATACAATCTTGCACACAATATAAAAGCAGGTTACATGCAAACATACAAACAGAGAGCACACACAAACACTGTCTATAAATATCTAAACAATTTGAATGTTTAACAGTAAGAAAACCCATGACCTGATTACAAAATTTCATCATATGCTGCCAAAAGCCTGAGAGTAAAGGCTAGGCTTTTAGCCTAGCATCAAAAGATAACCATGATGGCGCTGGACCAGCCTTGCTGGGGACTCCTTGCATAATCACAAGGCCACCACAAAGGCTGTTCTCCCACTTAGTGCCACCTTCTGAAAATCCCTCAGAGGAAGCACCTGGAGGAGGGCCTTACATGATGAGCACAGTATACAGCTAGGTTCATGCCGGGAATAATTCTAAAGCATTCAAATGAAAAAAAAAAGTTATGTAATTGCTGACACTATAAGAAACCTTGAAATATGGGATAGAACAAACTTCTCTCCGGGATTGTTACCTGAGTACAGCGGGAAATAAATCCATAGACTAGAAGACACTCATTATTAAACAGAGCCTGTATCTGGGCAGGAGCGTGCTTTAGCTCATCTGTTTTCATATCAAACTGATGCCATTTAATGGAAATGGCATTACATCCTGGGGAAAACATTCTAGTTGTCTGATTTTTTACCTGGCACAGGGATGGAAACAGAAAGTTAACATTTATCCTTTTTTCAGGTTCCTTTTACACAGGCAAAACACATACCTCCCCCCCACCCCCCACCCCATCCTTACATGTGAACTATACAACTGTCTGTCTGTCTATTTTGCAGGAAACTTCATTAAGCAGTTTTTCTCACCGCCCCTTTCCTTAAGCTGTTTATACATAAATTGCATTTTGGGAGGTACAATTCCAATATGCTGAAAGGAAAAACAGTGACTTTATTATGCTTAGCACATTCTATGCTATGCAAAATACTGTGATAGAGAGTGCAAAAATTATATTATTATTAACTGTATTTTTATACCACTCAACAACTGAAACTCTTCGGGTGCTCCACAAAAGCAAATAAAAAATAATGATACAATAAGAAAATGAAATAATAAACACATAAGTAAAAATACAATACAGAATTTAAATGTCAAGTTTAAAAACGAATTTTAAAAAGTTATGATAGCTTATGCATATTAAGTCACAAGACCTGTAAGCAGTTGAAATAATGCTCCAACATAACATAAGGCTAATTAAATGCCTGTTATTGAGGACAGTTCTAACCTAGACCCAAAAACTAACTAACCTAGACCCAAAAACTAACTAAAACTAACAGTTCTAACTAGACCCTGGTTACCTGAAGGAGCGCTTACGTCCATACATGCCCAGCCGCCCCCTGAGATCAGCGGGAGAGGCCCTCCTCCGGGAGCCCTCAGTGAAGGAAATTAGGAGGGTGGTTACTTGGAGGAGGGCTTTCTCAGCGGTGGCGCCTAAGTTATGGAATGCGCTCCCCAGAGAGGTCCGCCTGGCGCCGTCGTTATTTGTTTTTCGGTGCCAGGCGAAGACCTTTTTATTTAAGCAGCATTTTAATTATTATTATTAATAATAAATAATAAATAAATAATTTTAAATGTTAATATTATTGAATTTTATTTGGCCAGGATGGCTTATTTTATTCTATATTTTAATTGTTATTGTTTTAATTTATTGTGTATTTTATTCTCTGTTGTAAGCCGCCCCGAGGCTTCGGCGAATGGGGCAGCATAGAAATGTTTTAATAAATAAATAAATAGAAATTAAAATTGGTGCCAGGCAGGCCTCAGTGGGAAGTTTGTTTGTCCCCTCTCTCTCTCTCTCTCTCTGTGTATCTGTGTCTGTGTGTATTTGTTCTATAGTTAACATACCTCTACACATGGCAGTGGCAAATCTAATGCCATGAGGTAAGAAGGCTTAAAAGAAAAGGGAGCAGATGAAGAAAGGCACAGAATCTGATCAACATCTTGTTTGAAGACTTTCCATGGTCATCTGATTGACACCATGGCTCTTGTTCAGTTCAGTGGGACTTAAATTCTATTTAAATATGCATATGGAGGCTGTGAGACTGCCTTCTTGGCTCCAATTAGATTTTTTTTAAATGTGGAAATAGATAATGTATCACAAACCATAAAACTTCATAGCTCTTAAAGGTTTTTATGGCACTGGAATGAGCAGGTGGACCTCCTTAGTCTAAACCGATCATCATCAGTACAATCTTGCCTCCCACAGTAAAAAGCAGTGTGCATTTTCCATGGGTTCCTCTGACTTACCTATTTCAGAAGCAGTCATTTCTATCAATTTTCTGGGTTGTGCTGGTTTGCACAATCCTCCTGTTACACTGAATATGAGGTGCCCTCCAGTGGAGGCTGGATGTCCATGCTAAGCTTCAGTCCAAACTTTCAAGGAGCTATTCATGGTGTTGAACCAAGTCTGGGCTTTAACACCATGGATACTTCCTTAAAAGTTCAGAATTAAGTCTGAAGTGGATAAAAAGACCTACTGACATTGGAAACACTAATTTCCACTGGCAAACCTCTGTGTCACTGCATTTGCTTTTCCTACAGGGTCCAACTGCCCTTATTTCAACCCACAATCTTGGCATCAATGGGAGAGAGAGAGAAAAAAAATCAAAACTTCAGAAACAAACAAAAATGGAAACCCCAAATCTTCCCAAAGCACTACCAAAGAAAAACTGACTTTTCTGTCACCATAGAAAATGTTAAAATATACTTGCCTTTCTCTTCCAGTTATACTTTGATTTTACGTCAAAATATTCAAAGGCTCCAGCTCCATACTGGGCTAAAGATCTCAGCACATGACGATTCGCTGTGGGGCTGACACAGTATGTAAAGATTTATATGTAAAGAAGCTGCAACAGAGGATCAACCTGACCAGACAAAATTTCATTATTTTGCATAGCATATCCTGGATATACTTCAATCAGGCCATATGTATAATCTAGTAATGGAAGCCAGGCAAAACTAGCCAAGACATTTGAGGGGGCTTGTATCTTCTTAGGAGCCAAGCATGTTTTACACACTGAAGGTGTGACCTCTGGACAGAAAAATATACCACAATTCCTTGCTGGGAATTGTAGGACTTCTTTCTGTCTAAGCAGGCATAGCGGCATCTCCATAATGATTTTTTAATATTTATCTATTTATAAAATTTGTATGCCATCCAATTACTTGCGTCTCTGGACGGCTAACAACATAGGTAACTGAGAACCCACTCTGGTTGCAAGTTAATAAAAAGCAACAATAAAATTCAATATTAAAATATATTAAAATATTGATTATTTTTATTTATTTATTTATTTATTAAAACATTTTTATGCCGCCCCATTCGCCGAAGCCTCGGGGCGGCTTACAACAATAAGTTAAAAATAAATAACATTAAATTAAAAATATAAACATTAAAATTAAAAATACAAAAATAACAATATAAAATAAGCCGCCCTGGCCAGATAAAATCCAATAATATTAACAATTAAAATGCTGCTTAAATAAAAAGGTCTTCGTCTGGCGCCAAAAAACAAATAACGATGGCACCAGGCGGACCTCTCTGGGGAGCGCATTCCACAGTTGGGGCGCCACTGCAGAAAAGGCCCTCCTCTGGGTATTCTGTCTCCTGATCTCTTTCAAGGAGGGTTCCCAGAGGAGGGCTTCTGTTGCTGATCTCAAGGGGCGGAAGGGCAAATAGGGAAAAAGGCATTTCTTTAGGTATCCTGGTCCCAAGCCGTTTAGGGCTTTATAGGTAATAACCAGCACCTTCAATTGAGCCTGGACTTCAATGAGAAGCCAATGGAGCTGATAGAGGACTGGGGTTATATGAGAATAACGCCCAGTCCCTGACAGCATCCTGGCAGCTCTGTTTTGAACCATCTGAAGTATCCGGACTGTCTTCAAGGGCAGCTCCATGTAGAGCGTGTTACAGAAATCCAGCCAGGAAGTAACCAATGCGTGTGTTACTGTTGCTAGGCAATCCTCCTCCTTTTATAACAGAGCCATCATTTGGCCACTAGGTAGCATTTAGATGGCCATGGGATACTTTGAATTCCCAGCTACAAGGTCAGGAAAATACTCCAACTTTCTAGCTGGGAATCCAAACTCTGATTTCCTCCCTAGAGTCACAGTTGGTATAGAAAGAACCATGTTGGTTGCATCTTTGAGGCTGTAAGAATGACCTCGGAGAAGGGATTTTGGGAGCATTCCAAAGGGCAGGGAAGGAAGGAGATTGGCGTTGTCATGATATGATGCATTCTGGTGCTGGTTCCGTCTCTCTTCCCTCCTGCTCTGAAGTGTGCACTTAATGGCTGCAAAGAAGCATAGCAGTGAGCTTTGCCTCTGCATTCCTCCGATCCTGTACAGGATGCCTGTAGTCCTCCAAGCTCAGACAGCTGTGGTCATTCTCATCAGATTGTGCTCTAAACTTCTGAAACTTTATTTTAAAAGTACATCAGTAAAGATCACATGTTCAAACACCTCCCACACCCGTTAAAAATATCTCAAGTAGGACAAGACCAGGAGAACTGCTGCTAGTCATAAGGAACGATCCTGCATGAGTTGGACCATTGATTTGAATAAGGAAACTTCAGAACAAACTGAAATGGTGCACTACTGTCTCCTCCCAGGGTTCAATCTGATCCTTCTCCAATATTGGTCAAGTCCACAAACTCAAGTGCTACTGTGACAAAACACACAATTAAAGTCATTCATGTACACTGCAGTCTTTTAACTTTACCTTCATGTGGAACAAAACAGCTTTGTGGTCCCTGATCACTGAACATATTTATTAGTACTTGCAGTAGTGTTATTATTTTATTACATTTATATCCTGCTTTTTTCCTCTTTGAAGGAGCCCAAGGTAGCATCCCATGATCTGCCTTTCCATTTTATCTTCACAACAACTCTGTTGAAGTAGGCTAGGCTGAGGTTCAGTGATCAGTCCAAAGTCACCCAATATGCTTCATGGCTGAATGGGAACTACCCAGATTTCCCAAATCCCGGTCCATCATTCAAACCACTACACTACCCTGACTCTTACAGAAGAGAGTGTAGGGTGCAAGATCAGATTTTTTTTAAAGCTTCAAAAATGATTTTTAAAAAGGGGCTGATAAGAAAATGCCTTCTAGTGGTGCACCAAATTTGCTACCTGATGCAAATGGTTACTCTGCCTTATGGCGGAGCTGAGCCTAAAGCTTTCTTAAATATGCTTTGCAATTTCTCCTGAACAGAACACAAGTTCAAATCTCTTTGCACTTACCCAATTCCACATGTGAATATTCTAGTGTGCTGTGCATTTTGCTTCACCATCTGCAAAGTCATGCCTTCATTCTGAATATGTCCATCAGATATAAGAAAAATGTTGCGCTTGCATTCAGAAGGATACAGTAAATTCAGGTAGCGCAAAGTCTTCCATAAATCTGAGCTTCCCATTGTAGCTGTAGCAGACTAAGAAGAGAAAATTTTAACAATAATGGGCAGTTTTAGATTAAATGCTATTGTCTAGGTTTTAACAAACCAGTGATCAGGTTGGACAGAGGTGTCAATTCCTCTGCTTAGGTGTGATAAACCTAAGGGATGGATGGATGGATAGAATTTGGCTCCTTGGCCTCTCCAGCCAGATGAAATTAAGCAGAGCTGGTTTGGTTACCTTGCTTTAAAATGAAAAGTAAAGGAAATCATGTTACATTAGGGAAACACTTTACAGTATTGGTATAATCCAAAAGGTAGTCAACACAGAATAAAAAAAGCACATACCGTAATAAATTTTTCCAGAGCTGCAAAATTCATTGTGAAGTCTTTAGGATGGGAAGGAAATTCTTCAAAATCTGAACCATAAAAAAAACCTCTCTTAAAACATGAAGTGCTATATTTTTATAAGAAACAGCTGCATGATAATAATCAGGGTAGCAAGATTTATAGCTTAGTCCTATACATGTCAAAAGGAAAATCTACCAAGTTAAATAGAGCTTACAGGACTGCAGCCTGAACTGGGAAATTCAACGGTTTACTTAGGACTGTACTTTAATTGAAAAAAAAAAAAAAGCTCAATCCAGTGAGGTTGCCCAGAAACCTCTGAACCCAGAGGAATATGGGCATCTTTGAAGGGTGGAAGAGGCACGGAGGTACAGGTTGCCTCAGCATTTCTCCCACCCTGAAGAAGACTTAGATAGCCAATTTCATCTAAGTGTGTTGTCCTGAGGTGTAGGAAGTCTGAACCACTAAAAGGATATTGCATGTACTGGTGAAGCCTGTGCCTCCCCAAAAAGCCCATCTCCAAGGTTGTTCTTAGAACCTAAGAACAGAAGCCAGTGCAAGTTCTTTCCATTCCAGCTGCCAGAGCAGAGGGAGAGCACTGTGAATTCAGAGTTGCAGCTTCAACCTTGGAGCAAGTTTCCAATATCATAGCTGGGACTCCAAATAAATCTACAGTTCTCTAGAAGAACATAGGATTGTGCCCTTTGATAATCCACTGAATTTGCATAAATATTCAGAAAAGCAATGGATTAGCTTGAAGTCTTAGAACTATAGGTCAGGGACATCAACTACAGGCAAATTGCACAGCCCCCTTGGAAATATACTAAAAGGAAACATGCAATAAGAAAGAGGAAGTCTTACTTGTGCCAAATTTGAAAACACTTAGTTTTGTTGAAAACTGGCATGAGGCTACAGCACATAATGCAATCTGCTTAGCTTGTTGAATGACTGAGCCTGCCATGGAATTGGAGCAATCCAGACAGATAACCACTTCACCAGAGACGCTTAGGGGGTCAAACGATGCTCCAAATTCTGGTTGAAAGACAAGCATGCATGCCTAAAGAAAGGAGGTAGGCAATATCAGTGAAGCAGACAATTTCTGACTACCCAAGGTGCCTGGAAAATGCCCACAATGCTGAGACAGTGGGCAGAGACATGGCTAGCGGAGAAGTGCAGTGATTTGGGCATTTTGTGGGGTCCACAGATTGACAAAGGATCTGCCAAGCCTTTTTTGTCTTCTAACAGTACTATTGGTTCAAACAAATTAAAAACTGGAGTGGGGTGGATCGTACATGTTTCAGGCCAGTTTCCAGGATAGGGCCTTAGAGGTTGCCACATGAAGGCAGGGAAAAGTAGTTACGGAACCACATACTGCCCACTCCTCAAGTTTGGGACTTTGTCCAAAGCCTTACCTGGAGGCAGAGAAACTAAAGTACACTAAAGCCTTATGGGAAGTACTTCAGAGAAGGTACTCAGACCTGACAACTGAGATTGTATCTATTGGGACTGGGGCTCTTCTCACATTATAAGGCCTTCAAAGCTTTGCCTCAGAGTCAGAACTTGAAGCAGGGGCTGGCATGAAATGCCCAGTTGAAATGCCAAGGCCGACCAACCAAGATAGGAGGTTGCGGAGAACCACACAGCTTTAAGTTCCATGAGAAACTCAGTTGAGCATTCAAAGATGAGTAGGGATGTAGTAAAACAGGCCAGTTTTACTATTATAAAGTCTTTCCTTCAAAGGCGGTGGGGGGGGGGGCAACCAACACACAACAGCATTCAAGATTTTCTTCCAAATAAGGTTAGTTTGTGATTTTAGTGTTTTCCTTCTTCTATTTCCTTATTATAGCATGCTGAATGGAGGCCTTCCTCACCCATTTGCTTCCCATGTGTTTCAGACTACAACTCCTGACATTCCTGACAATTGGACATGCTGGCTGGGGTGAATGGGAGCTGAAATCCAAAACATCTGGAAGCTGCAAGGTTATGGGAGACTGTTATATGGTTTACCAGATCAATCCATGTGGATTTTTAACTTAAACCTACATACAAGCAAGCCAAATGTAAGCATTTGTATTTCAATAGCTGAGAACTAAGTGCGTACTTGACTTACACAGTGGAATCAATGCAACTTAAATGGCTTTAAATAGGTTGTATTTTGGCTAAGGGACTCTTTTCAGCATTGTCCTACAGACATTTGTTGCCATCTTGATCTTCCACTGCTGCACAGACTGTATTACTTGTTTAGATAAAGTCAGTGCCATGATTTGAACTGGAACTCATCTTTCATTCAGTACCACAGTTTTCTGTTTGAAAGAAGCTTGCTCCACAGGGATTAATGTGGACTGTGGATAAGTATTTTAATTTACTCTTGTCATTTATTTGTAGTTTACTTCCTTGAGCACTAGATCTGGTGGGAAGGCAGAATATGAATAAAACAAACATTTCACATACTGTAAGCCATCTGGGAAGTTTTATTCTAAACTGAAGAATGGAAAGGAAAACAAAAACAAAGAACGAATGAAACAATTACCTCACTCTCTTTGTTTGGATGCTTTTCTACCCACATTCTAGGCAAATATGCATCACCTATCAGAATTTCCAAGGCAAAGCCACTGCTGTCCAGGAAAGCATCCGCAAAAGTACAGACCACAGCTTTACAGTCTGTTCTCTGAATTGGAAGAGTGAATGGAGAGGAGAAGGGGGGAAATGTGCATTATTTGCATTGTACTCTCTTGACTTGAAAGATAAGATTAGCAACAGAAGCTTTTGGCATTATTCTAACAACCAAATCCAGATCTCATATAAATTACTGCCTTTCTAGACAAGGCTGTCAACCCACTCTATATATATTTCCAGTTTCATTCCAGAATAAAGATAGGATTTCTAAAGTTTGTGCCCCCTCTTTTTGTGGGGCAGTTGTCTTCACCAACACAAAGATTTTTGTAGTTCCAGGTTCCTCCAACTCTGCCAAAACCTCCCTCCTATGCATGGGTGCTATCATCCTGGCTACATAAGCAACACCACTCACAGTCTGAACATCAGAAATAAAGGGAGCAGTTCAGGCAAGAATAATTAATCCCAAACATTGCATAGTGGCATCATACAAAAGTATGTTTGCAGTGAAATTATGGACATTGCAATTTAACACTGCTTTCTGCAGCAACTCATGGCATCATCTTCTGAACGTTGTGTGCCACCCTGAATATCTAGAAAAGAAGGACACCCACTAGGTAAATAAATTCATACATTACACAAATATGAACAATTCCTTTTTCAAAAGGAGATGTAATTTGGCCTATATCTTTTCAACTACCAGGAACACTGATATAAAAAAAGGGTACCATGAAAGGTTGTACCTTTATTTTAAGCTGATGTGTCCAACTGTTAATATGATTAATTTTGAAGGGCATTTCAATGGACATTTGCAAAGAGAAAGATCTGCCATAAGATAAAAAGAAATGACATTATACAATAGGTCATGACTGGCATGTCATGTCTTATATCCTCTCCCTCACACACAAAGAATATCACAGAACATTATTTCCTCTTTCAAAAGACATCATTGCAAAATCACCAAAGTACTAATCAGAAAAATCTCATCCACAAACTACCAGAAAAAAATAGGATTTTAAATGATACACAAACATGTTGCATTTTGTCCTTTTTCATAAAGACTGCTTGTACTTCTGTAAACCTTGGGAACCCCCTTTCCCCTGACTCTGTTGCTGATACTTCTTTCTGTGAGGTGGCGTGACTTTGAGTACATAAGCATATACAGGGTGAACATCAGAAATAAAGCAAATGAGGAAATAGAAGGAACTTTCAGGGGAAAATAGCTGATACCACTTAGAAACTATGGAGAACTTGAACTTGTTTTTCACTGGTACATATAAACAGCAATTGTGTGAAAATGGGGGAAAATTCATGGGCACAATCCTAAGTATGCTACAATAAGTTATACTACTTAGGATATTTTGTAGGATATCACTTGCTGGCTGGGGAATGCTGGGTATTGTTGCATTTTTGGCTGGCTGAGGACCTCTAGAGAGTTTTCCTGACTAAACATGTGTAGGATTGTACACTAAATCTGTCAATTAGAAAAAGTAGGTGTTTAAAAATACCTCTTCTGTTACAAATTAAATTAAATTTACTTACCCTGGTTTTATTCCTGCTTGCTTAACTGAAACTTTCCTTACTGAGTCCTAGTTAAAAGAATAAGCATAAACAAGCTTTGTGTGACTACAATGAAATATAAAGTTGTGGAAAATAACTTTTTTTGGTAGCAGAGCAACATGGACAAAGTTTATTTCTCCTTCTACTAATCAGTTTGGATCTTTCCATGCTTTTGGTGGTAATATTCTATATTATAATAAAAGGAGACATTAAGTCAGGGCTTTCCTCAATCTACCACCTCAAAGCCTTCTCCAAACAACATTTTACCCGTTTGGCAAATCAAGTCCATAGGAAGTTGACTTGTTATAAGATACAAACCTGACTGCACCATTACATACTGTAAACACAACCAAGTATGGTTGCTGTTTTATCATGAGATTTAAGCTCTTAGGGAAGAGGTGTGCATATAGCTCTCTCATGGATATAAGGCACCACAAGAAATATAAGAAAATAAAGAATCGGCATAGAAGGTATTAAAAAAGGCATAAAGATGAGAATGGAGAGGTATACTCCAGTTGTGTCTGGATGGTATGGCAAAGATATTTGAGAACACAATATACAGGGGCTTGTTAAAACTGAAACTGAATAAAGAAATCTGTATGTGGAAGCAGGGGAGCATGTTGCCAGAGTACATTTACTTCTGCTTTTACTGGGTCATACACAGTTGTAGATTTGCCTTGGTGGAAAGCACCTCTGTTTGCACTACTCCAGGCCCCTGACTTTTGCCAATGCCCTGCACCCACAAAAACCCCTTGCTTCTCTTTGGGTTGGTATGTGGCAGGAATGCTTGTAGTGGGGTGATTGAGAATTGGCAAAAACTGGCACTCTGACTTACATGAGCAGAAGCATTTTCTGCTATGGTGAATCCAGCACTGGGAGCAACTGACTTCTTTTAAACTCCCAGTTGTGTTTGCATGAGGAACAAGGCACCCAGGCCTAGTTCACCCAGTGTTTGGATCTGCTAGCAAGGACAGTGACCACCAAGTTGCTGATTAGTGCCACAGGAATGCCCCAGAAGAAACTCAAGCTGTGTTGGAATAACTGTTTCTGAATTTCCATTGTTAAGGCTGCTTAAAAGAAGACAATGACACTTATAACCATATTACCCAGGGGACTTTTTCATAAAACATAAGTGTGAAACCAATACTCCTTTTAGGCGTAGTTTTGAAGAAATAAAAGTTATTTGAAAGAAAAAGCAGGCCCAATAACATACACACAGTAAAATGTAGGATTACTTAGGTGAGTAGAGTTCAGACTTATGGGATCTCTTGTTTTTTCCAGAAATCCTCAAGGCCCCTAGGACCTCTGAAGGCTCCCTGGGTGCTTTTGAGTATATTCTAAGCCCAGGAATTTGCATTTAGTACTCACCATCCTTTCATAGAAAGGTTCATTATTAGATATCCCAAAGTAGCCAAATTTGATAGAAGAGAGATTTTGTTAAACTGGGAGACACCTTATTGCAAATTACCCCTATATCAGCTAGTGGACCCTTCCCTCCCCACCCAAAAAAAAAAAAAAAAGAGTCCAAAAATGACCCTGGTCATTCAAATCTCCAGGCTTCAGAGCAGCCCAACCTGACCTAGTTTGCAAGTAATAGAAAACTATTGACCCTTGGTTTCACATACATGAGCAAGAGAAAGCAACTGCAGTGCCTTGGGCCTATTCCCTGATTTTGCCTTCTGTGAGCATGATGTGCAAACGTGAAGCACTGGATTGTTAGGAGCTAAACAATCCATGGTTTGTCATATGGTTAACTGCTGGCTTACTTAGCTTCTATACGACACAGAAACCCACATTAACTCATGACACAACTGATTGGAATTTGTTTGTGGAAAATGAAGTGAGCAGTGGCCCAAGAAAGCGTACTTGTTTTCTCCCAGTTATGGGCCAAGTAATCTAGTATTTGACCTGATATGTGAAAGGATTACATGTTTCTTTTGGCAGTCATCAAATACAATGAGAAGGTGCTCCCGTGGGCATGCCTTTCTTACTCCGGTCTTAGAAATATTGGTAAAGAGTGGTATAGAAGTTTTAAAAATGCAACAGCTTGAATTTCACCTTTAGAAAAGGACAACCAGGCCTGTGACTGTCGGCGCAAGGAAAAAATATATTTGGATTGCATGCTCCAAATTGACATATGCACTGAGTTCCCAACAATTATGCAAAAAAGATCTTAAATACTCTCATCTTGACCCACCCTGACACCATTTGTCAGCAAAGATCTCAAAACTTGGAGCTTTGAATTGAAAGCACACCAACCTGTGTGTTTTCATTTAATGCTTTGTCTTGTTGCCAAGGAGCTACAGCAGCAGGTAGATGAAATGAAAGGCATCCATTCTTGTAACTGAGCTCTGTGATATAGGTGATTTTGATGAGGACCTTAGTTGAAGGTGGCAAGTTTCCAACAGAAACAGTAAAAATGTCCTATAGAAAAGTATTTCAATTGTCCATGAAATTTTGTCAGCTGATTATGCAAGTCCATAACTAGCATAGCTGAATAAGCTGTAATAGTAAAACTTAATAATTACATAAATAGAAAACTGGCTGAAGAATTTAATGATAAATGGAAAGATTATATTTACTTAATACAGTTTGTAAAAATATAATCAGCTTTCAATCAATACAAGTTTCAATTAAGTGCTAATTAATTTGAGGGTAGAAGAGATAACAATTACTGGCTTTTTCTGAATTTGTGCTTATTTTGATATCATATATGATAGTTGTCGTATACTTTCTCTTTTAGGTATTCCATTTTTATGAAAAATAAAACAATGGAAAAAATAAAGTACATAAGAGCAGTCTTGCTGGAGGAAACCAAGAATCCATCTAGTCCAACATTCTGTTCACACAGTGGCCAACCAGCTGCCCACAGGATCCCACAAGATAAGCATGAGTGCAACAGCACCCTCTCACCCAAGTTCCCCAGCAGCTGGTGTGCATAAGCTTAGAGGCTAGCATGCAGAAAAGCATATTTGCTTTATTACTTACAATAAGCTACTATTCCCATAAACACACCAGCATGGCCAAAATCTGGGATTGTGGGACCAAAATATTTGGAGAGCTCCGAGTTGTTTAACCCTGATATAAACAAATTGAGTTGAATGAACATGCACAGATGACTGGGGGCGAGAGAGAGAACAGGAAGGTAAGGTCTCTCTTATGGCACACAGACACAGTGGGGGGAGCAGTATGACTAGTGGCAATCACACACTCTCTCACACAAACACACACACACACAAGCTGATTACTGAACAGAGGCAAAATGTAGCTCTACCACCAATTCCTCTATATTCTTTTTGCCTCCTGTTTGGCAATAGGTATGTGTGCATCTGGTCTTCACAACAGACAGTGTTTGGTTCATGGGTCTCTACTTGCTAACCCCTCATATAAATGTATATTATTTGTGAATATGTATGTCATTACTATATGTATATTCATTAAAACACACATTTCATGTATATTTTATGAATATATAAATAAGCATATGCAGGACATTCACATATACATTTGTGAGACTTGCTTGGTTTCAGAAAATAAGTGGAACTCAACCTGTGCCAGTCTCATCAAATATATAAGAAGCCCAGGCTTTCCACTTACTGGTGCATCCTGATCCATCAAATAAGCGCCATGTCCTTCTCTGACAGCTTCTCTGTATTCACGGTGTGCCTCTTCCTTTTCTTTAACCTGTTGAAATTATGTTGAAACCATAATAATTTATTAATTTAAAATTGTTTAAAAAGCACACAACATACAACATCTGTCAAAGTTCCATATCTGATCAGAAATCTGGGAAAGCAGGTGAAGGAAATTTTCTCCACTCTAGGTGCTGGCAGACAAATTCACACTGCCTTATGGAATGAAGTCAGGTGTGCAGAACCACAGGCCCAGGTTCCTAATCTGACCTGTCAACCCTCCAAGATTCCTTGAATAGCCACACCCCTTTTCCTGGCCCCACCTCCTTTCCCCTAACTACCAATTGATTGGCAGTCCCCTAGTCTTTGTGCATTGTCCCCCATTCTACAAGGCTGAAATGCTTACCTTTAGGCTTAGGTACAGGCACCAAGAATGTTAAGCTAAATATTCTGACATTTTTTTAATATGAATGGTGAAGCTCTCTAGGAGCTTCTCCTAAATGGAATGCAGCTTTCAGGTTGAAAGAGGTTCAACACCTCTTCATTAAAATCACATCTGCTCCATAAAGCCAGAGGGGCAGACCACCAGATGAGTCCACTGGGAGTGAGCATGTACCCCTTAATTCCTAACTGGATGAAAGCAGGACAACCCACTTCTTTCTACAATGTTCTGATGCTGCTTTTTGCAGTGGTCCAGCTTGCACCTGCAAATGCTGCATGCATCCTGGGAGTTCCTGTACCTTTCGGTATTACAATCTGACACAGTTGGCACCCCAGCTCTGGGACACTGGGAGGGTCAGAGGGCCCACAAAGCCAATTATCTCCAGTTCAATACCCATTCCCCTGATGATTTCTAGCACTTGGAAAATAAATGAAAGCAGATGTAAGGACCTGGCAAACACGGAGAAAGCAAGTCAGTGGCATACCAGAGGAGGGCCTTCTCTGCAGTGGCATCCCACCTATGGAATGCACTCCCCAGAGAGGTCCGCCCGGTGCCGTCGTTATTTGTTTTTCGGCGCCAAGCTAAGACCTTTTTATTTAAACAATATTTTAACAATGTTTAATATTATTTATAGGTTTTAATTTCCAGCCAGAATGAATCGGGGTTTTTAATTTGTGTAATTTAGATTTTTTGTATTTGTATTGGGCACTATGTTGTCTATTTATGTTTATTTATGTAAGCTGTCCCGCGGTGTTAAGCGATGGAACGGCATATAAAAACTCCAAATAAATAAATACATACATACATACATACATACATACTCTTGCTGGAGGAATCACAACTTGCTTGCTGTTGGGTGGACCCCTGTATAGCTCATGCTCAGGCACCCATGACAAGCTAAAGCAGGGGTGGACAACCTGTGCCTTTGAAGATGTTTGGGTTGATAACTCTCATGATTCTTCAGCATTAGCTATGGTGGGTAGGGGTGATGGAAGTTGTAGGCCAGAACATCTGAAGGACCATGAGTTATGTCCTGTGTGTGTGTGATCTGTGCCCTGGCATAGCATTACCTCTCCTATTATGTGTTTCTCTTTAATGAAAGCCTCAAATCCACAGACAGCAGCTGTGTCATCCAAAGGAAAGACGTATTTGGCTTCAATGGGACTGCCTGTTTGATTTTCATACATCTGGAATACCACAACCTGAAATAAACAAGGGAATTCAGCTTGGATGCATACAAGGTCAACACAAAACCATGCTTCCCAATCAGTGGTACGGATGGAAATCCTTTTCCTACCAAGATTAACATTTTCTATCCACCAACCTTCTGTAAAACTTTTGAGATGCATGAATGTTGCAAGCCACCAAAGTAGGCAGAAATTGATAGTTTAGGCCCCTATGAATGCTATGTGGCAGCTGTGGGGCAGCTGCATGTACCTCCCTAATTCCACTCACATCACTCGGTTTCCTGTCTTTGTTTAGCCCCCACTGGCATCTGAACATGTAAGTTTCCATGTTTTTCAAAGTTGAAAATGTGATAGTAAAAGATGCTAAATTTCTCAAAGAAATAAAAATACTTGGATTTGTCTGGTTTAAAACTGTTGTGCTGCTGGGCTGGTTGACTGAAAGGTCGCTGGTTCGAATCTGCACAACGGGGTGAGTTGCTGTTGCTCTGTCCCAGCTCCTGCCAACCTTGCAGTTTGAAAGCTTGCAAATGCAAGTAGATAAAAAGGTACCACTTCAGTGGGCAGGTAACAGTGTTCCGTGCACTTCAGTGTTTAGCCATGCTGGCCACATGACCATGGAGACTGTCTGGGGACAAACACTGGCTTCCTCGGCTAGGAAACGGAGATGAGCCCTGCCCCCTAGAGTCAGGCATGACTGGACTTAATGTCAAGGGGAAACCTTTACCTTTATACATTAAGTGATAATACCTCTGCTATGAAGTCTATTATTCGTCCCTTGATAAGAATATCTTTAAGAGGAACTGGATTTCCAGATTTGTCCTGAAGACCAGCAGTGATATCATCCAGCAGAGCTCGGCTTGGTATTTTATAGTCTAAATGAGTAAAATTGGATAGGGAAGAAAATAAGGAGCACCGATACCATGGTTAGGGTCCAAGGAAATTGTCAGCATTTTTTCAATGCTAAAAGCCCCATTGAAAACACCCAGCTTGTCAGGCTATAGCTGCAAATGGTAGCTCTGCTGCATAGGACTAAAAAAAGACTGAGCAGGCAGGGCTGCTATGGTAGCAGAAATGCACATGTACCTGCATGGCAGAGAGAAAGAAAAGGAAAAGGCTCTGGGCAGTTTACAAGAGTTTAAAACCAACAACAATTAAAATGCGACTAAAAGCTAGCCTATTAAATAAAACTCATCTGGGAACTAATCTGGGAAGGCCTATCTTGGACTCCCTCTTGAAGACAGCAATCTGGGATATCATATACATCTCTCCTGGCAGACCATTCCAAAGTCCAGTGGCTACCACTGAGAAAGTCCTCTGCATAGCTGACATTAATCTTATAGAAGCAAACTTCAGAAGATTACCCCAAGAAGATGTTAGGCTGCAAGACAGAATATACAGGTAAAGGTTCAAAAGAATTTTGGACCCAAGTCACAAAGGGCTTTAAAGGAATTTGTTTAAAACATTTGTACACCGCCCAATTGTGCCACAGCACCTCTGTGCAGCTCACAACCACAATTACCAAACACCCTGTACAGCATCTAGAAATGTATTGGCAGTCTGTGCAGGGAATTTAATCTTGTTGATATGTGGTCTCTCCATGATGCCCTGGAGACTAGCTTGGCTGCCACAGTTTCCAGAGTAGGCACAAGGGTAGCCCTATGTACAGCACAATGCAGAAATTAAGCCTAGTAGTTATCAGTGCATGCACTACTGTTCTCAGGACATTCTCATTCAGGAAGGCACGGAGATGGAGAATCAGCTGTAGCTGACTGCAGACACTCTCGACCACAGCTTCTGTACCTGTGCTGACATCAAGCAATTCCCCCCAAACTGCAAACACAGTCTTTTAGGGGCCTGTGATCCAATCTAGAACCTCTAATCCTGGATTTGGACCCTCCATTTTGTCTGGATTCAGCTTTATTTTGTTCATCCAGCCCATTACCAGCCTCAGGCAGTCATTCAAAGCAGAAATGCTGTCTCTAGAAGCAGCAGCAGATGATGGATGGGGAAAGAAATCTCTGTGGGACTCCACAAGTCATCTCCTCCTTGGAGAAGCAACAGTTTCTAAGCATCACCATCTGAAACTAACCTGAGAGATAGGAATGGAACCACTGCAAAAGCAGTGCCTCCAATTCCCTACTCCCTCAGATGATCCAAAAGGATACTATGGCCAATAGTACTGAAGACTGCTCAGAGATCCAGCAGAACCAACATGGACACACTCCTCCTGTCAATTCTGAGTCATAGATCATCCACTAGAGCAACCAAAGCAGCTTCAACTCCATATTCCACTCTTGTTTCCTGCAAGTCCCCAGTATCCACTGTTATTTACAATCTTAGACTGGAGAGAACAGTGAGGCTACTCCTTGGGGAGAAAGAGTTCCTTGAGGGGGTGGATCTTGGAGGCCAAGTTCCCCCTCCCACCAGAGGAACCCTAGGAGGCCCCATGTGCACTATGATGGATCTAGCAAGGTGGACTAGGCTCAGGGCCAGGGGATCCTGTATCACTGCTCTAGTGGATCCTGCTTCCTTAGTAAATGGAGAGGCATTCAACCCACAGAAAGCAAATTCTATATTCAACACCAAAGTCTTGCTGGAACAAGCCAAAGGCCCATTCAGTCATATCTAATTCATTCTCAGAAGAAGTATATGAGGAGGGAAGAAGTTTTCACAAATTTTATCCAGGGAAAATGGCAGGAGCCTTGCTGCCCTCCTATCTCTGGCATATCCCTAGAGCAGCCTGCTGGCACCCTCCATATGTTTGGGACACCAGCTTCCATCAGTTTGATCCAGCATGGCCAATGTCTGGAACCCTGGGAGTTGTAGTCCAAAACATCTGGAGAGCACAAAGTTGAGGTTACGGTTAGAAGATGCATGTCTACTAAGGAATGCAGTAGAACTCTCTCAGACGGAAGAACTGCAGCTACAGAATACATCAAAGAAACACTAAACAATCCTTTTAGTGTTTTATATAAGAAATGTGGCTCACCTTCAGGCTGTGGCTGATGCTCAAGGGAAAGCACCTGGTCTTCAAAATGTGTTGGGATTACAGGTGAGAACGTCTTTATTTTGTCATCAGCAAGGCAAAACTGAACCACATACTTGATTTTGACTTGACTGGTTCTGTACACCGCAAATTCATCATGCTTAAGAGAACAAGGAAAACAAGAACCACATTTTAGCAAACAAGAACTTAAGAATTAGCATTCCCTTTTAGTCTTCATAACCTGTTGTATTTTAGAAATTTCCCTTACTGCCCCATTCTTGGAAGGTACCTCCTTTTCTCCAACTACCTCTCTCATTTTCCCTTCTCTATAACTTGGTTCACATTTAATAACACCATACAATAGGATATTGAATTGTGTGTTGAAATTCAGAACTATGCATTCATCATGGGTGGTTAACCATGAACAACTCATGAGGAGAACCCACATTTTGTTGCTGGATGGTGATCTCTGAATTGTTTAAGACATGGATTTCATGGATTTGCATGAAATGACAATTGTTGTCATTTCATGCAAATCCAGAATTGTGGGTTGTTCATGGGTTGTTTCACCAGACTACAAGAGCAGTGAAATACCTAGCTCCTCTACCTACCATTACCACAATGCCACAAAGGTATTTCAGATACAGGGAGAAAGCAGGCAAAGGGGGCAGGAACCAAAAAAATCAGGAATCGATTAAACCACAAGACACCTGGCCAATCATCTGGCAGACAGATTGTGGGGTGGGATGCCATTATACACAAACCAAGTCTGTCAGCCTCTCTTTCCTTCTTTTACTTCTCCCCACTTCTTTTTTCTATCTCCTTCCATTAGAAAAACTTCTGTGATGAGCGCATGCTTACACATTTTTTGGGGAAGTGGTAATGTGCCAGCTACTTATGTCCTTGCAAAACCTAGAATAGATCCCGGTGAATTCTAACATTTACAAGCCAAATTGTATGCCTTTGTAGGAGGACTTCCCAATTTTCTGTCCCTAACTGTTGTACTACACTTTTCAGGAGTCCAGTTCCAGAAACCTTTAAATGCTGTATGTGTTCGAATGTGTTCGAAGTAGTAACTGAAAGTGTATTTTATTAGCTACATGAGGTGTTTTGAGTGTTTTCAGTTTGAGGGACATATTCCAGCAGTTGGGCAGAGTTGAAAGGAAAGAGGCAAGACTATTTGTTAGCATAGGGGTGCAACCCTTTGCACGTTTAGGCAGAAAGAAGTCTTACAATTCCCAGCGTTCCCCAGCCAGCATTATTTTCTTCAGCATATTTTTGTTCTATCTTAACATGCATTCAATTGAACCCTTCAGCTCTTATAGCCTTTCTGAATGGAAAAATCCGCACAAAAGCTGTAAACTTCAAAACAATTCCGGGGAGACTCAGAGAGGTGGACTGAGATCTCAGAATTTGGATCCTGAATTTGAGCTACTGAGGAAGTTTCCGGCTGAACTGATATTTGAACAAGACTCCCAGCTTGTGTTTTTAGTCACTGCACCAGAAAACTGTTGCCATTTCTTCCATTCTCTCCCATGGCTTAACTAAACAGTATGCTTTTTTAAAAAAAATCTGTCAAAGAGCACACCAAGTTGAATGTGGTACCTCAAATTCTGAATAATCGTCTTCCTTCTTAGAGACTGCATGCACGCTGTCATAGCCTGACGGTGCTGCAGTTAATGAACTGTCTGTGTAATGAGTATCGTAACACTTGCCAAGTGCAACATCGCAAATCAGCAGCATTCGAGTTCCGTCGGTTCTACTTGGCTGAGCGTATTTCACGCTTACGCTGTTAGCAGAAGAAAGCAATTATACTTCAGCAGATCTCTGAGGCATGCTTCCATAGCCCAGGCTTCAGTTTAGCCACACCACTGATGGGAAAAGCAAAATGGCCTTCTATAGTAGGGCTTGTTTGCTAGCCACATCAGTCAATCCAGTCCAATTTTAAATCCCACACTTCATCTTGAAAGGACTACATAGGTGGTTTTTCAAAGCTACAGCTACAGGTGACTCACCCCAATTGGCTTTAGAGAACACTCCTACACATGTTTAGATAAAACATACATAACAACATGAATGGGACAGACATGTGAATATAACCATGTAAACTGCAATTACCCCCACATTAAATTTAGTTTGGATCTTAGAAGTACTTGAAAGTAGCAAGACTTCCCTTCCTGTAGTATCAGGGAACATGTGAAGCTCAACAAGACTGGGGTGAAGTCTGTCTCCCAGGACTGGCTTCCTTCTGGGGCTTGTGTCACGCTGGTCTACTCAAGCACTCAGAAGTTGTGAAAGACCAGGGCAGTCACGCAGCACTTTTAGCTAGTAAGTTGCATGGCTGAATGGGGATTTGGACCCAGTTCAAAGCCACCACCCTGTCTGGGAAGCCATAAGGCTTCCCAGAAATGCCACTTGTATAAGAAAGCATGTGAAATAAAAAAATATTAATACATGCATTTTACTATTGATAGTTCTAAAATGTTACTATGATTAAGAACCACCGACCTTACAGACTCACTGAAATAAATACCACTGCCCAAATTCCCCTGATCACTTCTTTCCAAGCCATGTTCTGTTGCTATCTTTGGCAGGAGAAGACCCCTAGAAAATAAAGATTGAGTTGATTACTAGTTCAGTAATACACCTGTCAAGATTTTGAGGAGGTCTATATCAGAGGTGGGGAATTTTGAAGGCTTTGGGGAGTGACCTGAACTTCTCAGGAGCCATAATACTACCATCATGTAGTACCAAATTTTGTCAGGCAGCAAAACAATTGCTAATCTGTCACTAATTCTAGGGGTAGCTGGTGACAGTGAATTATAAAGGCAACATGTATTTATGTATGTATTACATTCCTGTACCACCTTGCAGCTGAAAAATCTCTGGGCAGTTCAAGACATTTAAGATCACAAAATAAGAGATAAAACACAATATAAAAGTTTAAAACTACTTATAAAAATGAAAAATCCAAAAAGAACTTAACAGCAGTGCAAAGATTTAAAACGGAGTACTAGACTTAAGGCAGAACATGAAAAAAATAAATGCTTGGGAAAATTAAAAGACCTTTGCCTGGTATTGAAAAAGAACACAATGCAAGCCTCCTTGGGAAGTGAGGGGGCCACAGCAGAATAGGTCCTCCTCTTAGTAGCCACCCACTACCAGAGCTCCCAGAGAATGACAGCTGAAAATGATCTTAGGGTCTAGACAGGTGTATATGGGAAGAGAAGACCTTTTGGACATCCTGGCCCCAAGCTTTTAGGGCTCTGAATGTTAATACCAGCATTCTGACTCAGGCCTGGAAATGGTCTAGCACAGGGGTTGGCAACCCGCGGCTCTGGAGTCACATGTGTGGTTCTTGAATGCCTTCGCTGCGGCTCCATTGCTTGTGTCACAGCCGCCACCAATCTGCGGCCCCTGCCAGCACAGCAGTGCGGCCGGCACAGCGCTTTGATAAATCGAAGAAAAGTTTCTGAAGAAAATCAAACATTTAATGATACTTGGGTGGATTCATTTGTTTTTACTGCTGACAAACTTATGGGGTTTGCTGTTTAATGCATGCAGCCCTTTAGCACTGACCTTGACTCTTCAGGAAGCTGTTCCCCTATTCAAAATATATGAAAGGAGTCCTACCAGTTTATCATGTAAGATTAAAGATAACAGTTTTTAGTGACTGGACAAGAGCTGCAGCTAAATCATAATGAAGATATACATAGCATTAAGGTAAAAAATGATGTATGCAGTGTTATCTTCATTTTAGATGTCAAAAGGGTTTTGTGGCTCCCGGTGTTTTCTTTTGTGTGGGAAATGGGTCCAAATGGCTCTTTGAGTGTTTAAGGTTGCCGACCCCTGGTCTAGCACTAGTGTAGATAGAAAAGTACTTGCAAAATATGATCCCTATTAACAACCTCTTTGGACCAGCTGAAGTTTCTGGATTGTTTTCCTAGGCTATCCCATATATAATGCATTACAGTAATCAAGATAACAGATTATCTGAACATGGATACTGTAGTTAAACTATTTCTGTTCAGACAGGGATCCAGTTAGTATATCATTCTAAGTGATAAAAGGTGCTCGGTGCCACCAGGTCCACTGAGCCTGTGCTCAGAGTGCTGGGGGTAGGGGGGTTGTTTCTAGTGCATTCTCCTCCAGAAAAAGTTGAATATGACTTAGCTGGACAAACAAATCACACCTTACCTAATAGCAGCTCTGTCTTGTCTAGATTGAGCTTCAGTTTATTGAGACTCAATAAACAATATAAATGTATTATAGGATGCATGCCTTGTTTTCAAAATAAATGTAGCATTTTTGGCCACTATCACCGCTGCTGAAATTTGGCAGCAAAAAGCCATTGTTTTACTGCTTTTTCTACAGCAGTGAATTTGGAGGTGGCAGCATGGGGACAGACTTAATGTCCATAGGATGTCCTATAGAATAGGAAGATGGTTTTTCCACATTTTTTCATTTGCAGCATCTTGTCACCTTTGCCTGCACAATGAAGACAGTTACAAGCTGAAAGACTGCGGGAGAACTAAGTAGAGGACCACAGCTTTGATAAACAGAGCAACATAACTACCAGTTGGTCCTCTTCTAACCACATAGCCATCCATAGCAGAAAAGCATCACAACACTTCATGTGACAGAAGGCAGGTAAAAGGAATACCGAGAGAGGATCCCAACAATGTTGGAAACTGATGAAGCATGGAACAAGGACCGAATATTGCCAAGATGACTCTCAAAACTTTCTGTTTCTATAATCCTGTGAACTTTATATATCCCCAGAACTTCTATTGTAGATCCACTGCAAGAAAATTTAAAGAGATCAAATTAGTTTTCATGGAAGATAAATTTATAGTTTCGTCTAAAGTTACTTGGATCACTGCACAAAAAAATCTTCTGCTATTTATGTAATTTTCACTGGCACATCACATTTTGTGCATTTTTTCTTATTTTAGAGTACTGATTTGCAATGAGCACCACATGCAAAAAGGGGTGCTATACAGTGAAGTTTAAAGAGAGATTAGAAATGCATTAAACAATAGCGTGTGCACTTTTAAATTAGCATGCTTTCTAGTAATGTTCATACTTTGGCATGACTAAAGCTGTAAGCAGTGCCAAAATGGGGGAAAATGTTGTGCAGACCACAGATGTCATAGTAATCTGACTGTAAACATATACATGACCTATTAAACCTGGATAGTACAAATCTAGAAACTATGACTATGTACCTGAGGTTTTCTTTTATCTGCGTTTTAACCTTGGAGGATTCTTCAAGGTCAAGCACATCTATCTTGCATCTCAAAGCCCGATATTTTGAAATTGATGGTGTGTTAGGGATTAACATGTTGATTTCATGCATATTTAGCATGTCTCTGATGAGCTATAAAATACAGAAATTGGAACTGTGATATTTCTGTCACAAAACTTATGACTATTAAAATACCAATATATAATCTTTTAGTCGCAATAGAGACTGAAAGATGGGGAGGGGATGTAGCTCAGTGGTAGCTCTGCTTTGCATACAGAAAGTCCCAAATTCAATCCCTAGCATTTCCAAAAAGAGGTAGGAAAGATGTTTTGTCTGACAGTGCTTCCAGGTGGCAGTCCTAGCGCTAATAATCAGAATGCAGTGACCAGGCTCAGGCAAAACCAAGGGCTGAGTGTGAGCCGTCCCTGAACTGTGGGTTTATTTCGTTTTATTTGACATTTTTCCAGCAAGGAAGCCAAGGTAGCATACATAATCCTCCTTTCTGTTTTATCCTTGCAACAATCCTATAAAGTAGATTAGGCTGAGTCAATGACTGGTCCAAACTCAGCCAGTGAGCCTCATTCCCAACTAGGGACTAGAACTTGGATCTCCCAATTCCCGGTCCATCACTCTAACTTCTAGGCTATACTGACTTCCAACGACTAGCAGTGATTGAAACCCAGGTGTGGGTCTTTCCAGTCAATGTGAACAGAACACTAGATTAGATGGGCCCCCGAGCCTGACTTTGGCTCTTCCTAAATTCTTATTTCCTAGGGATGGAAAAACACAAGGTAACATCTCAACATCAGGCTTCATGTAATATATAGTCAATTGCAATGTCTGACAAATGAAACTTCCAACCCCATCCCCCCAATATATTAAATTCTTATTACATCTGGGTTTTTTTTTTTATACTTGCGATTTTGATCGCAGGTTACAGCAATAGCTCATGAAAGACTAACTTGCTACTTAATTGCAGTCATGATTTTGGTTAGAAAGAGGAGGCAGTGAAAACAAGAATCAAACCTGACACTGTTACCTGACATAAATCTTGTTTACTAGATAGCAGCTTCTTGTTGACATCATATTCCAGTCCACTTTTGTGGGGTATAATTTTATAGAACTCCAATATCATTGTGGATAGCTTTTCTGGTGATTCATGGTCATCCAGTGCTTTCCTTATCCAAAGCAGAATGCCTTCAGCTCTGCTTACCTTTAAAAAAAAGTGATATAAAATGTCTTAAGAAAAACATGAGGAAATGGAAAAACCAGATTATGCCACCTCTGCAACCCATCTTCTTAACTTAAAATGGAAGAGGACTCTATTCTCACAATCTTTCACTGGACTGGCAATGTGTGAGCCAAATCTAATTGGGTCTTGTGTGAGAAATCCTGCCTGTAGATGTCTGTTTCTATCAATGGAAAGGCACAATCATCCTGAGGGGGAGACAACGTAGTGCAATTTTCTGGCATTTTCCCACAGAATATGGTAATATGTATATGCCATATGCCACACTGATAGAAATGTTTCTCTGATAGCCCTGCTACTTTTTGGCAAGTGTGATTCCTTGTGATGCGAGTCCATGTGACCGCAGTGCATGAAAATAGGTCAAGTTTATGGGTAGGGCCAATCACACAGCATTTTTACATGTAAAATCTCTCAGCTGGGCAACCACATGGTTAGAAAAACTTAGGGAAATGGCCATATTTAAGCTGCAGTAGTCATACACTTCCTATGGCCCTTCCTATGGCCATAGGTAATGCAGTGCTCTCCAAATGCGTCTGAATGTATCTCCCATAAAAAAATTCTTGATTATAGGTTATGGCAACAAAGATGCCAGGAGTTGTAGTCCAAAAAATAATTGCCTACCTCTACCATTGAAAATTGGGATTGCACCATAGGATTTATTTCTGTCTTTAGCACATGCAATAAAAAGTGGATAATAGATGGTTAAAGGTGTGATCCTGTGCATTTTAGACAGAAAAAAAACCTTCCCAGTATGCCCCAGCCAACACGGACAACGGGATTATGCAGGAAATTGTTGGCATTTTTCTGTCTGAACATGCACAGAATTGCACCCTACAAGAATAAAATCTGGTAACACAGTTATGAATGAAGACATACAAGAATAGCTATACAGATCTGCATACTGAATCTATAAACTGTTTGGGAGACAAGAAATGACTTTGGCACAGAAAAGATAGCAATGTAGGCATTACGCAAGCCTCCTTAGGGAGGGCATTCCATAAGTGGAATGCCAAAACTAAGAAGGCCTTCTCACTTCTAACTTCCTTTGGTGCAGGGTTACCAAGAGGACTTCCAAAGATGACCTATGACTCCAAGCAAGTCCATAGGAGAAAAGATTTCCCTGTAGATACACAGGCTGAAAGCTGTTCAGGACTTTAAATGTCAACAGCAACACTCTGATTGGGCTCAAAAATGGCCTGGAGGCCAGCACACCTGATGAAGCTCTGGTATCTCATGATCATATTGATCATTCCCAGTCTGTAGCTCTCATGCAACAATGTATGCATGTCAAGGAGGCCATAGCTGGAATGGAAGAGAAAGAAGCAAGAGGTTTTCCCTTCAGTGCCAGTGGTGGGCAGAAAGATTTCTAGGTATGTTGGACTTTGGGATCCCTAACATTGGCCATGCTGGTAGAGGATTCTGGGAACTGACATCTAGAACATTTGAAGCTCTACATCCTGCCCAGCCCTGCTTTATACAGTGAAAATACTGACAAGTTCCATGACAGATTAAATCACAGTTATGTTGTATGTCGCAATCTAGCAATTCATTTGCCTAGACAGTATTCATGGGAATAAATTGTGGATATTTTCAAGCAGAACTGCCATACATCATTGAGGCTGATGCTGGTTACTGCTTTATCCAACACGTCATCCAGGAGTCCAAGTGCTTCAGTCCAGATCAGCTCCACAAAATTAATCGCTGCATCATCAAGTCTGCTGGAATCGATGGCTTCTTTTATAAGGATCTGCAAATACATCACTGCAATCAGTCCATGAAAAAAATGTAGTCAATGGTGCACTACAGTTTGAAGTAAACAGAGGTGGTATCAGTTTTAATCATTACAAAATCTCTTCAGGATTGTATCCATACTAAATTTGTAACACTAACAAATATGAAGCAAAGCAATTAATCTGCCCCCTCTTAAGTTTAAAAATTAGCTCAACTAGAAGGCAAATGCCTCAAAAACTGCTCAATGGCATCATCTTCCCTGCTGGTCTTTCCCTTTTCTTCTGTCAGGACTCAAGAGGAAGGGCATGATTGGCTAGGGCAGGGCAAGGAAGTTGTGGCCCCTCATTGTTAGGCAGCCTGCTTGGGGTTGAGGGAAATTGCAGTCCAACTTCTGCAGGGCCACACACTCCACTCCCGGACTAGAGTCTTTACTGTTCAGAGCTGTTTTTGGGTTTTTTTGCGGGGGGAGCAGTCTCAGCTGAAAATGGTAGCCTTTTTCTTCACTTTAGATAAGAGACCCCTCTATGCCACAGCAGCTTGATTTTAGGGAGGTTTCACACATGGAGATCCACAAACTAAGACAAGAACTGAAGAAAGAACTACAATTATGCTAACCTCTTGCGCTTTTACTGAAGCAAGATGTTCTGCTCTATCTGGCAAGTCTTTTCTTAACTGAAAATGCTCCTTCTTCAGATGTTCAATACAAAGTGCATAGATCTTTCTGGCCTGGTCAGAAGTCTTGGCGGGTATAAATCGTCTTTCATCCTAAGAAAAAAAGGAGTATCAAGATGCAAAGACGAAGAGAGGGACATTTCACAGGCAGTATTCAGCTCAAAATGCAATGTTAAAGTCTAGTTTTATTTTGTGCTATGGTACAACTCACTCAGGCGGCTTTTCCAGCCTGGTGCCCTCCGTACGTGTTGAACTGTAACTCCCGCAATCCAAGCCTTGGAATGATGAATACTGTAGCCCAACACATCTGGAGGGCATCATGCTAGGGAAGGCTGGTGCTTTGAAAGCTGAAGCTTTGAAAGGCACACAAGGATGCTACAAGCACGGAACTGTCACCATTCCCATGTAGGGAACAACAGGAATTATGGTTCTATGTCAGCAACGGAGACCTACACCAACATGTAGCACACTAATGGTCTATAAGAGAGAGGTTGGCGATGTTTGGCCCAATAAATGGTCTGACCTCAGCTCTTCCATTTCCCACCGCTGGCTATGGCAGATAGGGTTAATGGGAGTCGTAGCCCAAACACCTAGAAGACCACCAGTACCCCACCCTATTTAAAGGCAAAAGGTGGGTCAGGTAGATGTGAACAGATTACCCTAAGTTGCACAAATAGGACCCAGTGGCATCCTTAAGGAATTGAAGCCTATTTTCCTTTCCAAAGAAGGAATTCATGAAACACCTGGACTCTTTCTAATTTACCTGCATATTTCTTAAATCTTGGTGCTAGAACTGGATCCAATATTCCAGGTGAGGTCTGACTAGTGAGGAGTATAGAGGAACTACTACTTCTCGTGATTTGGAAGTAATACTTCTGTTGATGCATCCCAAGATAGCATTTGCCCTTTTGGCAGCTGCATCACATTGTTGGCTCACATTTACCCTATTGTCCACAATTACTCCAAGATCTTTTTCTATTTCAGTTCTACTGAGCCACATATTCCCCCTCTTGTATCTATGCATTTGGTTTCTTTTTCCTAGGTGGAGGACTTGGCACTTGTCCTTATTGAATCTCATTCTGTTGCTTTCAGCCCAGTGTTCAAGTTTATCAAGATCACCCTGGAACTGCATTCTGTCTTCTAGGGGGTTTGCTATTTCATCCAGTTTTGTATCATCTGCAAATTATCTTTCCTTGTACTTCCTCATCTAAATCATTAATAATTATGCTGAAGAGCATTGGGCCCAGGACTGAACCCTGTGAACCCCACTAGTTACCTCCATCCAATTTGAGAAGGTGCCATTGATGAGCACTCTTTTGGATCCGATTTAGCAGCCAATTTTGGATCCACCTAATAGTTTTTTTCATCTAGTCCAGTTTTTGCTAATTTGCTTATCAGAATGTCATGTGGTACTATGGTGAAAGCTTTGCTAAAGTCTAGGTAGATTATGTTCACAGTACTCCCTTTGTCCATTTGGGAGGCTACCCAGTCACAAAATGAGATTAAATTAGTCTGACA